GATCCTTAACACCACATAAAAATAAAATATTGTATCCACCTATAACTAAAAAATAAATATTAAAAAACTTGGGTATGAAGTTTAATGAGCTTTCCAATAGACATTTATGTAGTTGCAACTTTTTGCAAGAGGAATGAAGCATGTCCTATATGGTTTCACTAGAAGAGAACTTTTGGAAAATCATGCCTGATTTCCTCTGAACTTTGTTTTGTGTCTTTCCCTTTGCTGATTTTGGTTTGTGTTATTGGAAAATAATAATAAATCAGCCACAAATATGACTACATGCTGAGTACTGAAAGTCCTGGTAGTTAATAATGGGAAGTTAATGGTAGCTTCCCATTGCTATAATGAAATAACAGAAATAATTCATTTATAAAAAGAAGGGTTTATTTTAGCTCACAGTTTTGGAGGTTCCAATCAAGATCTAGTGGCACCCTTACTTTGGACTTCTGGCAAAGGCATCACATCCACAGGACCATATGGTGGAGCAAACTGCTTGCCTTGTGAGCCAATGTGTTAGATATTTGTCACTGTGACCAAAATAATTGAAAAGAACAACTTAAGGAAGGAAAAGCATATTTTGGCTCATAGTTTCAGAGGTTCATTTCATGTTGGCCAACTCCATTGCTTTGGGCCCAAAATGAGGAAGGACATCAGGGTGGAAGGGTGTGGAGGAGTAGTCATGCTCCAATTTTTCATGGTGGTCAGGAAGCAGGGGCCACAGGGAAGATAAACCTCTCTGGGGCATCACTCCAGTTACTCTCCTCCTCTAGCCATGCCCCATCTGCTTATAGATACCATCCAGTTAGTTTAGTCATACTAGGATGAACTGAATAGGTCACATCTCTCATAATCTAATCACCTCTGAATATTCTTGCATTAACATGGGAGCTCTTAGGGGACACTCTGGCTGATTAGAGTTTGAATGTCTTCTACCCATAATGCCAGCTCTGGAATCTTCATTCAGCTCACAGCTTTCCAGTACTGGGATTGTTATTCTCTGCATTCATTTACTGCTCTACTTCATGTAATCTTACCTGGATTGTGAATATTTTTAACCAAATATCCAAGAAGACCCACCCCTACCACTCCACTTTTTAAAGATGTTTCTTCTTTAGGATTCTGCACTGTGAATTCCAGTCATACTTGTTGCCTTGGTCTATAATCTCTTTTTTTCTTGTTTCAGGAATAGCACTGTGTTCCCTTTGGTCAATTCTTCTCTGTGTTCTGCTCCAGAAAGTGCCCCCAGACAGAAGGTGAGGGTGAGCATCAGACTAACCTTGTTTCTCTTCTCTCAAGGATCATTCCTTGACTGGATATTTTAATTCATTATCTGAAGACAACTGTTTCAGATATTTTGACCAGGTTTTTAATTGTCTGCAGTGAGAGAACATTGCTTTGTCATGGCTAGAAGTCAAAAACCTCATATTGGCTTATTATGTTCGTTCACAGTACTGGGGATCAAACCCAGGGGCACTCTACCATTGAGCTACATCCCCAGCCCTTCTTATTTTGAGACAGGGTCTTGCTAAGTTGCTAGGTTGATTTCGAACTTGTGATCCTCCTGCCTTAACCTTATAAGCCACTGAGATTATAAGTATGTATCACCACAATTGGCTTAATTTTTCTTTTTATATAGCATATGTTAACAAATTATTTCTTTATTCTAATATTAACTTTGTTTATTCATTTCCAATGTTAGGAATCAAACTCAGGGCCTTGCACATACTAGGCAAGTATTTTACCCATTGAGTTACATCTCTAACCACTAACACTAATTTTAGATTCTCAAGAATGTTTTTCGACTACTACTACTTCTTATTCCTCCTCCTCCTTCTTCTTATTATTATTAATCATTATCATTTACATTGCTGGGGATTAAACCTAGGAGCTTGTGCATCAACTTTTATTAGATATTTTGCTATGTGTTATGATTTGGATCTATATTGTCTCCCAAAGTGTCAAGTGTTGAGGGTTCCCAGTGCAGCAATGTTTAGAGGCCTTTGATAAGTGATTGGATCATGAGGGCTCTCATGATCTCTGCAGTGGAGTAATCCTGAATATCTACTACTGGAGATGCTAGAAACTGTGACCTGCTATGGTTGGAGGAAGGTCACTAGGGGGCATGTCCTAGAAGGGCATTTCTTATCCTCAACCTCTTCCTCTTATACACTCTGCTTCCTAGCTGCTATGAGCTGAGCAGCTTTCCTATTCCACACCCTTTCTGCCATGATGGCACATGTGAGGCACTGGGTTCAATCCTCAGCACCACATACAGATGGGTAAAATAAAGGTATTTTATTGACCTACAGCTAAATAAAATAAAGGACTATATATTTTTTCTTAATATTAGGAGGAAAAGGCCAGGCACAGTGGCTCACGCCTGAAATCCCAGCAGCTTGGGAGTCAGAAGAAGGAAGATTGCGAGTTCAAGCCAGCCTCAGCAATTCAGCGAGGCGCTGAGCAACTCAGTGAGATCCTGTCTCTAATAAAATACAAAATAGGGCTGGGGATGTGGCTCAGTGGTCGAATGCTCCTGAGT